TTTAAGAGATTGCTTCTCTCTCGCTGACTCTTGGTACCGCAGCTGCTTCCCTTTGACTGTTCTGGTGCTGCTTTTTTATAAGGGGTATCCTGCAGGATGGTTTCATAGGCATTTCCATCTTAACCAGCCTCTTGGGTGGAATCCAGGTGGGTCAACACCCCGCACATTCAGCTTGCTCTGCAGGGACTGCAAGTTCAGCTCCCTGGCAGTCAAGCTCAGTTGGCAGAGGACAACATGGTCTCTTGATCATAAGCTATTGTCTCAAAATAAGTTTTCTGTACACCTGGGTCCTTGAGGAGAAGAAATGTGAAAGACACATTCTTTTACCTGTATTTGCCAATGCTATACATTTCTGTGGAAAAAAAAAGTCAGCCTATATAAGCTGTTTACACATATATATATCTCCCTTGGTTTCCTGTGGAGCAAGACAGCTATACGAGTGCCTCCTCCCACCCGTCCCACTCCTTCCATGCCTTCCGCCAGACAGGCCGTGCTGCTCCTACTGTTTTCCTGCAAACTTTGACTGCTCTCTTGTTCTCAGGCTGCGGGGCGTGTAAGCAGGGGAGGAACAGAAGAGAGGCAGATACCCCTCAGTCTTAGAAAATGAGGTTTTGACACCTAACCTGCTTCAGAAAGCAGAGACAAACATTGAGGAGTGGAAGGGGTAAAGAGGTACTGGCAGATTTAGCTTTAGCTCAAATACCTGGATGTGGCCAAGAGCCCTCCGTGCTGCTTTCCCCACCTCGGCCTCTGTTGTGCCACCACCAAGGGTCTTGCAGGAGCCAACCTGCATATTTTTGGAGCTCTGCAAGGCTGCCCCTCTGTTCCAGCAAAACCAAATAGCACTAGCTGGCATAGAGCAGGAAACAGTACTGGGGCCAAGGACCCCCCATAAGGTGAACAAACAATTTTACACGTTCAGTCACAAAACACCAGAAGAACAATTCTGGACAGTTTCACAACACTAACTACAAAAAGAAAAAGAAAAAGAAAAAAAATAAAAGCCATTCATTTCTCAGTAGGCTTCTTTCTGTCTGAGGCTCTGACGTAAGCAAGGGTCAATTCACTAAGAAATTTGGGTTTATTTTGGCAAATGGAACTGCATTTGGGTGTTCTCACAATAATATCCTGACTGTGCTTGAAAAAACACCTTGGGCTGACTTTACGAGCAGGAGGGCCCCCCAGCAAATGCAAGACAATAAGGAACATGCAGGAGCCATGAAGCTGCTTAATGCCACTATTTACGTGTTAAAACTTGCTGTTCAAAAGGTATCACTTACAAATATCAGAGCAATAATAGCTAGTTTATAACCACCAGGAAGAGAGACGGTGCTTTCCAATTTTTAAACACAGTGTTAACACACACACACACACAAAAGTTTCCTGATCTGATCATAGAATCAGCATGGTTGGAACAGACCTTTAAGTCCAACCATAAACTCATCACCCCCATGCCTACTAAATGGTGAGGCCCCTCAGTTCTGTCTTGCCACAGTGAATTTACTGCAAGGTGCATGAAGTAAAAGCCTCTGTCCCCCAAAATGTGGTTGGAAAATTCTCACGTGGAAGCAGTTCTGAGGAATGACCAGAACAAGAAGTTTCTTGCATACAGTTCAGTAATTTCCATGGGCTGAAGTTTGTTTTCCTTATTTACAGCCCATGGAGCCTCATGAAGTATGGGAGAGTTAGCTCCATTCTATTCTTGGCTTGTGCTTCAAATAGAATTATTAAACTCTGCTTCAGCTGGATGCTATTTTGGCTCTTCTAATCAAACGGAACGTTTAACGAAGCTCCATGCACAGCATCAGATTTTCACGATAGGGTAACCAAAGAGGCCCAGCTCAATTTTCAGTTTTTGGCTTGAACACATGGACGGAGAGGATAGAATTAGGGAGAAAGACAAGTAAACTCAGAAAAACCTGCCCCAAGAAGAATCTCTACACTTGCAGAAGTGGAGCAAAACTGCATTTTAAAGTTCCCAAAGACCAGCTCTACCAGTATAGAAGGGAGCCACGTTTTTAAAAGAAAATGGTGAAAACAAGAGACCTTTAAAACAGTCGAGTTGGTGTTCATGATTAAAAAAAAAAAGTAGTAACTGCTTAGTTTCCTACCACAAACTGCTCTTCACAAAAAGCCAACCTACACACACACACACGGCCTGTTGTGTCTCAGTGGATAAGGGTTAACCCCTCGCTGACCTGAGCGCAAAGCAGCCCGGTACCAAGGGACTCTGTTTAACGCTTCATCTCAGGAGATGACGTATCAGTCCCCAAAAGAGCACAAACTAGCCTGATCCAAAAAGCGATTAAGATACGAAGCGGTGAGTGGATCCTCCTTTAAGAGCACCACAGGTTTTTGAAAACTTGACTCTAAAAGGAAGAAAGATGTTTAAAGAGAAATGCCAAAACAAAACACACTGAGAAGTCTCAGCTGGTGAGTGAAGAGGAAAAACACAGGATAGAAATGCAGTTACTAAGAGCAGCTCTTTTTGTGACATGGGATTGGTATTGCTTCTGACTTCAGACAAAGCTAGGAACATTAGAAATAGAAACATTTTGTTTTTCTTTTGCTGTATTTCTACACTGACCTCAAGACAGGACAAAGGTGATAGTAGCTGTATTCGAATTAAAAAAAACAGAACAGCAGACCCTGTTAACACCATAAAGATTTCACAGAAGGAGCTGGGATCAAGAATTTTGAAAATTAAGCTAAAATATTTCCTTTCTGCAACCACAGCCACATGAACTGCTACCACCCTGCTGAGCAGGCAGGCTGAATTTCTCCTGATAATATCAAGCAGATATCAAACACCTTTTGCAGGTGTGTGGGGAGGTGGTGGGACACTGTGGGACCACACTCCCTGCAGAAGAGGGTGATCTCACTTACATGATGCAGCTCCAGACACCTACATTCAACAAACATCCTGGCCCTATATGCTTACTTCATCAGCTTGCCCTTGCTAGCTATTCTAAGCTGCTTTCCCACTCACTCCTCCTCCCACCACATTAAAAAAATTACACCTCTCCCCCCATCAAAACGAATCCCCACACACAATGTGCTCCACTTTTCGCTCTCTGTTTCCTCTGTAATAAGAATCCCATGTCACTTCCCCTGTGCTTTGAGAGACAAAAGGTCTGTCCTGAAATTCAGGAACTACCCAGTGGTCTCAAAGCCGCGGTCACATAGTGAAAGACGGTCCCTTTCTAAGCAGCTTTGAAACAGAAGGGGAAATCTTGAGCCTACATTGAGCTGCATATCCTATTTAAGGTAAAACCTGCTTTTAATAAAAGACTTGGGGCTGTCCAAGCACTTTGCAAAAAGCAGATGTTTGGAGGACCAGAAGCCCCAGAGCTCCCAAATTCTGCAGGCCAGGAGCCAGGCCCTTCAGAGGAACTGCTGCAGAGCTCACATTAAGGATTTCCACAGGTGCCTTTACCTTAGGGTTTAGAAGGCTCAGACCTTCATATAGTGTAAATACAGCAGATAAGAGATACTGAAGGTGGAAGAGTGAGAGGAAACAAAGCATTTAAAGATAATTATGACAGCAGCCAATATTGCCCTATAGCACTCTGACCTGCAGGTCCCAACTTAAGGTCTAGATTACTTTTCTTGCTTTCCATTGGAAAAGATCTAGAATTTTAAAATTCAACTTATTTAAATAACATTTGATTTAAAAAAGTAGGAAGATACACATGTGCGAGAACAGATGCTAAACTACCAACTCAAAATACAGCAATTCTTCAGAAACTTAAGTATTACAGGCAGTCTAGCCCAAGGCATTTAAGTGCAAGACCATGCAAATTCTGTTGAAATGCAGACCACTTTCCTTGGCAAAGATTTTTAAACTTTTCAAAGGGAAGTTCCCCCTGGTTTAGTAGTGCAGAATCACAGATACTGTGAGGAGACTAGAGTCATGGAAGAATATTACTCACAGCTGGTACAATCTAAGAATTCTCAATGGTAAAGAATCAAGATTTTTTTTTCCCTCCTCAAGTCTAACACATGCCTTTCCCACATGCTGTTTACCTGGGCCTCTCCATGTGATCCAAGAACAGAATTTTGTGCTAATCAAAGCCCATTTCCATCTCAGTTCTATGAAATTCCTCTGTCCTGGGCCTGTGCCAGCATCCTGGAACTCTCTGCAGTGCCAAGCAATGCTTTAGTCCTCCTGTGAGCCCCTCCTCCCAGGAAAGAGGGGTCAGTTTTCAACCAGCTTATTACCACAGATTCAGGACAGCACTTGTTCTTAATGCTGAATTTAGCAAAAGCTAAGAACACCCCACTTTCCATGATGCATTTCTCACCCAGCACAGTCTCGGTTTGACCTTCTGTTTCGCATACACAGAAGGTATGGTCTCAACTGGGCTGCATTTCTGAGCTTTTCATGAGGATAAATTCAACCTGTGTCGCCAATCTACACTTGAGATGCATTTCGGTCTCCCCCTTTCTCAACAGTAAAAGGGAGAAACCCTCTGCACTCTACATGGACTTGTGCTGTAAAGACTTACTTACCAGAGTCAGGCAAATAGGGTTCTGAAGTCCTGACAGCAGGCAAAAACAGCACTGGGGAGAAAGCCTTAACAGGCTGGTGTTATCTACACAGGTAGGATCCATCGCCTCGCTGCTGCAGGAAGAGAGGGAGGAGGAAGGTGGGAAGAGCAACGCACAGAGAAGTATCTTTATCCAAGGTATATCAATTGCGGAACAAGGCAGCAAGCTACAGATCCAGCTCTTTTCCACCTCCACATGCCCTCTCCCCACAAATGCAGCTGCTGCCACTTAACAGGATGAAAGGCGAATTGTTCAGCTTGCTGCCTTCATGTCTAGGAGGGAAGGCCTTGCCAGCGGAAGGGGCTGATAGTTTTTCAAATGGCCAAAGCAACGACAAACACACACCCACTACACTGCTCTTGGTTTTTGCGTATCTGAAACGAGGAAGGGAAAAAAGAAAAAAAAAAAAAAAGGGAGAAAAGCAAAAAAACCCCATGAAGGTCTCTGTAAACATTTTGAGAGGAGCCATTTTGGATTTGTTTTCTTAAGGAATATAGTAACCCTTCCCTAGCCCCACCCTAAAAGCACTGGATTTGAGGAGCACTGAAAATGGAGAATCAAAGCTGTGCACTGCGGTCTCGGAAGAAGCCCTCAGCCACTTGCGCTTCTCTGAAGGTGACGGTAATGGAGTTCGCCGTGATGTCTGTCACTGTCACTTCGCTGGGGGGCACAGTGGGGATCCAGGGGAGGCTGCCATCCATGTCTGCTGCACACGGAGAGGCAGGGAAGAACACGTTAGCAGGAGGGAGAGAGGAGGGCAGGGGAAGGAGGGCAGGGAAGGGAGCAATGGAAAAGGAGCCTCCTTCCTGGCGAATGGCAGGTGACATCAGCCTATATTGAGCCTGAACATACAACAAGGCAAGAAAGAGCATGGACAAGCCCTTCTCTCAGAGGATCACTGCAGGATATAAAGGGAAGGGAAGAGCGCATTGTAGAAAGTGCGTCCACGTACCCCAGCTTTGTCGCAGCATACACAGAGGCCAGCAGGAACCCATAACACCAGTTCAATTCCGACACGTCTCCCCTGCTTCCGCTCCCCATCACCTCCATGTCAGCAACACGTTCACCCAGCTATGAGCTCACCCCTTGGAAATGCTGTGCCCTGCTCAAATGCCCAAGTTCTTATGGACTCTCCTCAAACACCCCTCTGGGAGTCAAAAAAGGTCCAAAAATGGAGGATCTTCCCTGTACTGCATCTGCAACACAGCCAGGATATAATTCTCTCCAGAACCCATCACTGTTGCTTCATGGAAAAGTGGCTCTCTGTTTTTCATACCTTTCCACCTCTAATTACTAGTGGAGAAACACAAACGCCCCTCCACTTTCTCACTGTACGAACAATTTGTAACTGAACAGACCCTCTTCCACCCAACATCCCCCTTTCCTCCCAATCCCTGGAAAGAGTCACAAAAACTTAAGGAGTGAAGGAGGAAGATGCTTCCCACTCCCTACCACTTTACCTGCCCCAACCCAGACAAGAAATGTGTGTGCCTCAAGATGGTATTTCCTGGCTTCTGTCTCAGGTACTGGAGTGGCTACTCTCGCCTTGGAAAGAATCCACCCACAGTAACAGTTACTGGAATTTGGCATAGGCCACACATCAAGTGAAGAACAAAAATAATTGCACATTTCCCTAGCACCATTTATCCTTTAGATCCCCAAGTAATTTAGAGAGACCAGCATTTCCAGGAAAAAACGCACGCAACTTTGCTGCTACAAGCAGCACAAACTGTTTGCTGCTCTCCAAGTCCATGCCCTCAGAAGCGCCAATAACACAGAGTTTCCCTGCTAAGTCAGCATGATGTGCACAACCCACAGTCCTCCTGCATGAGACGCTGGCATCCTTGCCCTAAACGTCAGATGTGCTTGGGCACTGCCCACACCAACGCTGCCTATGCAGTGGCATCGGGCAGGTGTTACCACCCCGCTTCACCACGCTCATTCCCCCTTCACATAGTTTTCAGACAAGGGACTTGAAAGATGTGTGGTGTGGAGAAGAAGGGAAGATGGGGCAGAAGGAAGGCAACGGGAGGCGAGTCACCGATACAAGACTATAGGGATGCAATGCCACCAGAGAAATTAAGTTACGCTGTATACCCAGACAAAAAAAGCCTTGCAGGCAGGAGGTCGCAGTGGCAACCAGCTCGAGCTGCTCTGAAGACGTGACCTAAACCGCAGCCCCAGGATGCAGCAAGCAGGGAGGAAGCACACGCAGCAGCCTTCCCACGGCCAGCACTCCACAGCCTGTGGCGCCCAGCCTTACCTTCCTTGCTGGCGTGCTGCGTGGCCTCCCAGTCCTCGGCACTTTGCCTGGCTTCCAGACCCACGGCATCGTTCAGGAAGAAGTCATGCCTGCAGTTGCGACCCTCCAGGCTCGTCATGCGCGGGAACTTCTTCCTCGACAGCCGCAGGTACTTCTGGTTTTTGCGCTGCTTTCTGAGAGAGAATGGCAGGACTGCTCCCCCAGTCTTCTCCGAGAACTCTGCCTGTCCTGGCTTGGACCCTGGCAGGCTGCTGTCTCCTCCTCCAAACCTCCGTGCGAGAGAGAAACAGAGCTTCTCCTTTCCCTTGTGTGCGCTCCTCAAGTCCATGCCATAGAGCCGCTGCCAAGACAGGAATGCAGCAAGGATCAAAATGGGAGCTGGATAATACAGTTAGTCCCATTTGGGAGCCAGGAAACAGCCTGTATTTGTAGCTCAGTCCCTGAGCATCTAAGTGACCTAGCATAACATGTACTACTTCCACAACACTGCCCCTCTCACCTCTTCATCTAAGCTCTTCCTAACATGAGCTTCCTGGAATCAGCTGCTTTGTACTGCAACAGTCAAAGCATGCTGGAACTTCACTTCCTTCCAGCTACTACCTTTAACATGCTGAACTGTCCAAGCTTAATTCAGTTTTAAAGAACATGAGACCCAAGTAACCTGCAACCACCTCAAGCCCCAGATTAGTAAGATCCTATTCTGCAGAGCAATAACTTTCCCCCGCCTTCTTCTTCCTTTAAAACTAGATTAGCTGGCTGTCCAGCTAGCAGGTTGAAACCACTCTGCCAAACCACTGACTTTAAGTTGTCATGCTAGCTTGTCACTTCAAAGTTTGTCCATGCAACACCAAATGGACAGTTCCTGCTTCCCTAGAAGCAGGGCAGCAGCAGAGCAGAAAATGAGTTAAAATACTCAGTAGAAGAGCAAGAGGCTACCTGCAGAAGGAGGCGCTTTGGTTTGGGACCTCTTTTCCTGTACCCTGAAGCACGGTCTCGCTCTTCTCTGCAAAGAAGGAATAGATATCAAACCCAGTACCCCATACCACAGCACAAAGCCAGTTAAGGGCTTCTACTTTCTGTAGCACAGTTCCCTTATTTCTTCCGTTAAAACTTAACAGCATAGGCTTGGAAAGCATCCCAGAAGTGTTTCTTGTGGGAGCAAAAGTCTTGCAATAAGGGAATTTCTCTGACTCAAGGATAGGTTAGAGAGACTTATCACTTCTACATCAATCCAGCCCAGTCTTGGCCCTGATTAAAACCTGTGACCAATTGCTCTTTGGCTAAATGTTGTTTGTGCTTAGTCTCATTCCCTGAGCAGTGCCAGTCACGGCTGCTTTAACTCCATCTTGTCTGCCTTGGCCAAGAGCAAGGTACAAAGAACAAGCTGGGCTTGTTCCTATACATCCCATCCTTGATGGGAGTAGGGACAAGAGGGGCACTTCATGCAGGCTTCCGAACAAAGACACCATCCCCTTTGCTGTGTCCAGGAGAGACAACATGCCCCCTTACTTTTCTTCATAAGCCACTACCAGGCGGGGGTCCAAGATATGATCCTCTGGCTCCCATGTGCTGTATCTAAAGAAAAACACAAGGAAGATAAAGTAAACAAGACTTTAATGAAACATTCGCTCTGCAGGCCTGCTACCAAGGCTGCTGAGGCCCTGGAAACTGCCTTTACAAGGGTCACTGGGGCCTGCCACAACATTGCTAGAGCCCTGAGGAATCTCAGCCATTCCCTCCCCAAAAGCTTCCTGCCAGAAACCACCTCCCCTTCCCAAAACAGGCAGGGCCAAGCATCAAGCAGCTCTTTGTAAGCAAGCAGGGCAGGCTTTCCTCCACAGGGCCCCTTCCTCACTGTGCACAAAGCCTGTGCAAAAATTCACCAACTGCTTTTAAGCAGATGCCTAAATAGGTCTCATTTGCAGCACTCCCGCGCATCCAGGAAGACGTGTGAAACACTGGGACTTGGTCTGATACAACTTTCTGGAAAAATAGGTCTCTCTTAATTCAGAGCTCCCCAAGAGTAAGTATGCTTCCTCACCTGCATTATTAATTACCTCTAATCACTGGAGCTGAAAGCATTCATTTAAGAAGAGTTTAATTTTTCTCCACTGATGCCTTCCAACTAAACATGTTTAGACCTGGGCCCTGAGGCAAGTTAATGGCAACTCTCCAGCTCCTCCTCGTCCTCCTGCTTCACTCCCCCTGTGAGAGATTTCTGTCTAGGAGAGGTCAGCAGGATTTCTGTACAGGAGCTGGAGGGACCCGTTTGCAGTGGTGTTTTATTAATGCCTTCAAACAGGGCAAAAGCAGCCTGGGAGGTTTGCATTTTGGGGTGATAAGGTGCTAGAAACTATGGTACAATTCTTTCACAAAATGGGAGGGGGAGGGGGAATCCCACAAAATTCAACTATCCTACGGTGCACTGTACATCAGAGGGTTAAGAACAGACCTGTCTTCCCAGCCAGCTGATCCCTCCCTCGCTGCCTGAGCCTACTGCAGCCATCTGACTGCGAGCTGTCAAAGGCAAGATGCTGTTTGAACGGAGGAAGGTTTTCTCCCAGCTGCAGGGCTTTTGGCACTCATTCTTCAAATGCAAGAAAAATAAGAATACTTGGGAAAGGGAGGGGGGAAATGCCAGCTTGCTATTCATGGGCAGGAGAAGGGGGATTTGCTATTAAAAACATCAAAAACAAACAAACAAAAAACCCATAACAACAAAAACAACCTGGTGGGTGTTGCCTTTTTCTCTGCAGCCCTGTCCCTGGCTTCGCTGCAGTGGCAAAACACTGCATATAAAAAAAAATATGGCTCACTTTGCTGTACGCACACGCAGATTTTTTATATATATATATATATATATATATATAGATGTACACACACACACACAGAGTGCACAAAGCCCAAGCTGCAGCAGAGCTGCAGAGAGCAGGCACTTCGGAAAACATAGATCATATGATCTTCCTTCCCCCTCCTCCTACTCCTCCTCTTCCCCCTCCCCTCTGAACTCCAACACAAGTTGTAAACAAGCTTGTAGCTGGAATTGGGTTGTAACTCCTCCATTCGCTGGCTGGAGCAGTACAGTCCAGCAATCTGAGGGATGGGGCATTATCGCGCTTTTTTTTTTTTTTTTTTTTTTTAATGGGGAAAATATCACATGAGAAAGCAGCAAATTTCTGTCCTAGCCTCAGACCGCTCAGTGAAACCCCCAGCTGGAATCATGAGGTAACAGGTACAGAGATTACAGAGAGCAATGCGACAAGGTTGGGGAGGGGAATAGCAAAATACAACATGGGAAAAGGAACATGTTGGAAAGAAGGATGCAAGCAGCTCATGGTGCTGTGTGCCATTGCAGGCTCGTGTATGTTTAGAAACAAGGACCAGAGGCCACTGGCAAGATGAAAGCAGCTTGCAGGCTGAAAGCATTTTGAGTTTAAGCGGCTCAAACTACTGAATTAGCAGTTAAAAAAAAAAAAACACACACAATGCTCTTCACATCCAGTATTTGGAGGCTGGGGGAAAGAAGGGAGGTGCTTGGACAACGTCACAGCCTCAAAAGAATGGCCTGCGACATCCCTCTTGTACCCCTGGGCTGAAGGTTGTGGTTTTCATTGCCTGCACAGAGATTCTGGTTCCCCCAGAGTCCCAAGGTATAGGGCAAGGAAAGGCAGCAACAAGGGATGGTGCCTCACAGACTCTGTTTCCCAGTTTCGTTTCTCCATTAACAGAGATTAAATTAGGCATAGCCACTTAGGAGGCTGACGTGGGCCAAAAACTGGCCAACAGCTGATACTGCATGAGTATTTATAGGCAGGAACAAAGCCCCTCTCTCCCGCCAACATCAGAGAAGGGGAGCCGCTCGCAGTCGAGGGCTGGGCACGCGGACATACATTCCAGGTGCTCCAACACCAGGAACAATCAGGCCCACGGCTTTGCTGGTCTTTGAACTAGTAAAACCAGACCCCATTGCTTAGCATCATCCTGTGCAACTGCACATGAAATTTAGCTATACCCAAGCACAGTGTACATGCAGACACACACAGTTACAAATAGAAAAGCAAGAACAGGTCCAGCCTCCTGGTCAATCCATGAGGGTTCTACTAACTCACTAGCTAACACAGTAATAATATTCTACAGTTATCTCATCCTTTTGTGCTCAAAGCATTTTACAAATAGCTTAGTCACAGAGGAACGTCTTCTCTTCAGAAGCAGCTGCATTTTAATAGGGAAGAGAAGTAGCAGTAAAGAAGGCTCAGCAATGCTACAAAAGCTTTGGTTTTTCTTTTGACATGGCCACTAAAGCAAAAAAGGCACTCAAAACAACAGGAGGTTTCAGACAAGAAACTGGAGGTGCAATGGTCATTTTCAAGAGACTAAGACCCACTGGAGTTTAATTACATTTAGTAAGTTTGAAACATGTCACTTCTGCTTTTGCAAACAGCAGAAAGGATATAGCATCAGGGCTGCACATAGCCCTAAAAATAAAGTGAGGTTCTTTCACGTCCGATTCAGAAAAGCAAGCACTATTCTGTGTTTAGAAGAATCAATGTTTTCTCTAAATCTCATGCTGAATTTGTGTGGATTCACATCTAGGAAATGTCTTAATGGAATATTTCAGCAGTAGCAAAAAATAAACAGCCAGAACAGACTGGCACAGGATCTGTATCCCTCAGCTGCCAGTTTGGAAACAAGAACAGAGTTTTGGGTTGTGGCTCTGTTTTTTTTGTTTACAATTCTTGAAACGAGGCACAAAATGTTAGCCATGAAGAATGGGATGCTAAGCTGCAGAGATACTATTACCAATTATTAAAGCAAAGAAATAAATCACAACTTACTTTGGGGGCCATCCTTTCCACTTCACCAGATACTCTACTTTACCCTAAGGGTGGAGAAAAAAAAAAAAGAAAAAAGAAAACAGGTGAACTCGGTAACCAAATATGGGCTACAGCAAGGGATGCAGCCAATCAGCAAGACTAAACTCTACGACTTGAAAGCTCATTTCCTATCACTGTATTTTCAAAACAAAGCTACTTCCTCATTTGACTAGACTGGCTATAGGTTTTTTTCCCCAGAAGAGAGGCACATAGTTTAAGCACTTTTAAATAACCCTAGTGTCACCCTGGGATCACAGCTTTGCAGGAGCTGGCCCGCAGAACCCCGGATCCTCTGGAGAGGCACTGCAACCACTCCTGTGTCTACAGGCAATTCTACAAAAAGTCAGCAGGATAAATGTGAGCAGGAGGGGGGGTACTGGGAACAAGTGGAAGAGGAATCTGTTTAAGCAGAGAGAAAAAAATGCAAGATTTCAGAACCTATGAAGCATCTCTTTGGCATGTTCCCTTCCAGTTGCTTCATCCACAGCTCCATCCATCTCAGTCACCCAATCTTTCTACCCAAATGAACAGCAATTCACAACTGAACATCACAGTTATCCATTTATTTATTCAGTCTATAAGTACGATAAAAAAAAAGTAGCAATTGGAAACTGTGTCTGAGGGCCCCAGAGGAACATGCACAACTAGTAAAGATTTTATTATTATGCAGGGAGACTTGTTAAGCGCTGCCCAAAGCACAGGAAGGGCCTGCACGCATGCAGGACCACCTCCAGGAGGCTGCTGTTGCAGATGTGAAAACCTTTAAGCAACGGCACAGAAACCAAAGCTCTCAAGCACATTAGGAACCAGGCAACTAGTTTCATTTTCCTGAAGGAGGGGGTTCAGCTTCCAAATGTTTGAAAGTACTTCCCTATAAGGAACTTTGCACCAGAGGATCTCTGCACACCCTGTGCGCAGGGGTTAATCCTCCTAACACCCTGTGCAGTCAGGCAGCATTTTTACAGCTGGGGAAACTGAGTCACTGGGCTCACAGCCAAGTCTTTCAGAACCATCCCCAGATGGGGTGTTTGCAGCTTGCCACCGCCAGCACTGATATTTTTTGGAGAAATGGAAAATCCCAATAATGAAAAACCTCAGGCTGTTCAGAATCCCCCCCCAAAAAAGCACCCACTCAACCACCCCACACAAAATTACAATCAAAGCAAGAGTCGCAGCTGCCCACACCATCTCCCTGCCCTCCAATCCCCAGGCTGCCCTTGTCCCTGCTCTGGACCCCAGCAGGTGTCACATCTGCCCCACGCCTCCCCCTCGCTGCCTGCCGCAGCAGGGCACAGCACCCGGGCCAAATAAACAACAACAAAAAAATCACGGTAACAGCGAGGACAGCAGAGAGCACCGTTAGTTGGGGAGGAGGGAGGACGCGGGAGCGCCCACCACGCCCCCCGCCCGCGGCCCGCGGG